AATAAGCTGTCGTGGTTTGTGTCTGAACTACCTGAAAAAGATATCTCAAACGTGGTGGTCCAGTGTAGCTAGTATTCTACAATTAATAAGCTGTCGTGGTTTGTGTCTGAACTACCTGAAAAAGATATGTCATGCAAGTATGGTGGTCCAGTGTGGTTTTGTTAAAGCACTTAAAATACTAAAACCTAACGGTTAATTACAGGAAAAACATTTCCATATTTTTAAGGCAAGCCTTTTAAAATATGTCAACTATTTTTATATATACCACATTAATTCTTTTGCTTTCTTTCAAATGCAGCCGAGTTAAATTTGCATTTACATGACAAGAAAATCTTAAGAATGCCTGCAGTAATTACGACAACAGTTAAGATGTTATTTTTTAAATTTAATGTCAGTTTGAAGCCTGAAAAAAACTTAAACACTTAAGTAACCATATGACTGTTTAAGGAACAAACCACGTCTGCGTTTTCAAGTATAGCTCCGACACGAACCACGGCAGAATTACGTTTGAGAATTCTACAACATTCTCAGCATGACTATGGAAATATTTTGAATACTTTAGACAAACACATCCCGTTGTTTTATATCGAATAAAGCTGCGTCGAGTCGCGACCTTCCCTTCTGTACCACGCTGCGAGATCATTCATTTTCACAGCGGGGGATTCGCAGTATCAAAGCGCGCGGTTATAATTATAAAAATCATTGTAAATTTTGATTGAAACATCGAGGGCGAATCTTGGCAGTAAAAATTAAAGCGTGTGAAATGCGCCATGTGTTTCTTTAATACATAATTTACAATTAAGCCAAAATAAATTTACAGGAAAAGATCTGTGTGATAACTCAATAAACGCGGCAAACAGATTACGATCATCAAGATGAGTTATATAAGACTGAGTATGTAGTTAAACATTCAGTCATAACGTGTGGTAAACGTCTTCTTCTGGGGTACTGCGTTTATGTGTATAAATACGACAAACTATCAGGCGTAATCTCTAATGTTCGATATTATAGGCTCCGAATAAGCAGTACCCATCATACCTTGCGTGCTCAATGTTTAAGGTTTAAGATTTTTGTAGGACAACCTTTTTTGAATTGGCTGTATATATGTATATATGGCAAGTTTTCTAGTATTGTCCATTATGGATAGTCTTAGGTTTATTGCTTTTATGGGAGCACGTCAGGGGGTCCCTGGGCAGACAATATATTTAGATCAAAACTCTCATATCAGCACTATACGTTCTTTGTGCGCTGTTGTGAATCGTCTTCTAGAGCCATAAATGTCTTTATGACAAAGACAAAGCTATTTCCTTTCATGCTAAAGGTCTTGTACTCGCTGTGTTGGAGGTCACCTCGCTGAAATCATAACGGGTAATTTAATGTAGCCGATAGCTTGTTTAATGACGTACGCCATGTACAATTTGGAGTTGTGCAAGACTAAAAGAATTCGTGTCTTGGGTGTTGTGGAGATACGACAATCACAACGGAAGGCATATATGTGGTGTTTTTAAGGACGGGAAATAGCGAAGAATTGAGTCCAATTTACATGATATTGAAAACCTCTCAGGACTGTCTTGTCATTCGTAAATAGCACAGGCATCGGGCCAGACAGCAAGACAGGGCAGGTGTGACTTGTTAATATATTAAAATTGCAAGGAATATTATACTATATTACGTACAGAGACGCCGGTCTCTAGTTATTAATACCAAGACATTATACTCATTACTCTAAAACGAGTTGAAGGAACGGCACAAAGATCCCGAGAGCGGGCTGTTGAAGGCTTTTGAATCTCGAAGTACATATGTCAGCACTCATATACGAAAATTAGCTGTCCCATCGTTTCAAGAATTGCGATAAGGACCGGTGATATTATCTGCTTAAGAAGGCTTTAGTGGTTTTATAATGAAAGCTGTTTAATTTAAAGGCAAAGCGTAGATACTTTGGTTTGATGCTTAATAGAGTATACGGGAAACTGCTGAAGCGTACAGATTTAAATACATCAACACAGAGTACAAAAGGGTACAGCTTATTCAAGAATAAAGGTTTAAAAAGGACAGATCACTTGGAATAAACTAGACTTTTCTTGGATACTAAAAATTATTCGGCGGTTATTTCAGAACTGGCCATTTAAATTGGTTTTGTCAAACCACGAGCGATTATATACAGTTTACTGTTGTTTAAAAAGACGGTACGTGCCAAAGATTGGGTAAACTAGACTCGGTTTCTTGAATCTAAATTTGTGTTTACACTCCTGTAGATGTCAATACAATTCATTGTAACCGCAGTACTCTAAGCGAAGGAAAGTATAGAGAAAATTCAAAGATGTATGGAGAACAGTAACGTATACATCGAGTGTATGCAGGATAGAGTTATACAATTCGGGCATATCCAGTGGTAAAAATGATATATTCTTCACTACAAACAGAAGAGGGCTGTAAATAAGTATAGGTAAGTAAGTCGTGTTTGCTAATCATCCTTCGCAATTCAGGGTTAAGCTGAATTGCAAAGGACACAACTCAATGTAATCGAGCCTAAGGCTTTCTATAAGGTAGTCACGGAACACAGCTATAGGGTGAAAGGATTAGTTACAGAGGTCTATCCTAACCCTCCCTGAATGTCAACTTTCCCTGGGGGAGGAAACGGGAGCACCCGAAGAAAACCCACGACTTTCGGCAGAGCGTTGACTGACTCTTTTCACATGAGTCCATAGCGAGAATCGAATCCACGATCTCAGAGTGAAAGACAATTGCTCGTCACAGAAGCCCCTCATAATACATAATATAGGTCAGCATTTCAAATACTGTGTATTTATAATTACAGGTTGGATTTTATTCAAAATTGTGTTGTGTAAACGAGCTGGTGGATATTGATCCTTGCCTATACAAAATATTGTCGCTTACTTCTTATTGGACAAAAACTGTCTTAATTGCAGGTATATTAACACGCACAGAATATATATTATATTGGAGCTGTTTTGGTATAGGCACACGAACACGACTTAAACTGGAGTGGCATTTGTATGATACTTTGAAATCTAAAACTTAGTGGCAATTTCTTCGAGGCAGTAAGCTATTTTACTGCCACAGGGGAAGCACTAGTTGACATCTTCGCGTAACTGGAATTGTCGTTGTTAATTGCGTTGCGTCGAAATTAATCTAGAATTCTGTATTATACTCGAAGGACAAAATTAGAACTTGGTATCGGTTGAGCTGTTTCACACACAGAATCAAAGAGTGTAAATTGGTTTATCGGTCGTATTGAATTGTGGGAATTCTGCATTATTGTGATTATCTAGTCCAAGACAAGCCGGTCACGGAAGACATTTCAGAATTTTTTGAAGCATATTAGTAAATAAATTTCACTTGGATTGAAAATTTATTGACTTGAATAATTAGTTGACAAACTTAACGAGCGAGACGAAGTTATAGATTGCTAAAACGAGAACATTTGAAACCTTTTAGAAACTTAAAAACAGAAAAGTAAAAGATATAGAGAAGTTCGCTTATTGGACATTTATCAACTCGAGTTTAAGGTCAGACACAAGTTTCAAACTAAATTTTTAAGTTCATCCAAAGTGGTCACTTGGCAACGAAGACCCTATATATCTTTGAAGCGTGTTATAAGAAACAAGTGACATATACTGAACGTGGGTTTAACAACTTATAAACTCGAATGCCACAAAGAGGAGCATTTATAAATTAAAAATTCAAAGAAGACAACTTTACTGGAGTTGAAAAGCAAAAGGTTTTGACTCGAACCCAAAGAGAGAATCGTTCAAACTTTAAAGTCAAAGAAAAGCAGTTTAATTATACTGAAAAGCAAAAGGTTTAGCTATAACAAAAAGAACGAATCGTTCATAACAAAATGGCAGACTCTACGGCAGACAATATAGGCGGACACAATCACAGGCACTCAACGAGATCTGATGGTCTGGTGTTCGTGTTATCAGTATGTCTTGTGGTTATTGAAATTCTAGGACTGTTGTGCAACGGTATTATACTAACTGTTTATTACAAATACTCCAGATTGCGTACATCTACCAATCTGTTCATATTAAACCTCGCTGTCTGTAACATGCTTTTGGCTGTGTTACAACTGGTGCTCTCGACTCCCTCGTTTTTCCATAAAGAATGGCTATACGGTGACGTTGGGTGTATCGCATACGGGTTTGTACATCAATACCTGATATCTGTTGCGGTAATTACACTAGCTGTGATCGCTTTTGATCGATTCTGTGTTATAACGAAACCGTTTCGAAAGCTACAGACTTTTATTGTAACCAAACCAAGAGCGAGAGTGTTAATTTGTCTCAGCCATATTTACTCATTCGTGTTGACGTTTCCGCTTTTGGTTGGCTGGAACGAGCTCAAGCCAGATAGTTATAAAACAGGATGTTATATTCATTACTCAAAGCGAAGCCCAGGCTCGATGGCGTATACTGTAACTTCGACCATACTGACGTGTATTCTGCCTCTTGGAATAACCGCGTTTTGTTATGCGAAGATCTATAAATCTGTGCGCAAAAGCTCTCGAAGATGTACGTTGTATAAAAGTCAACATAACACAATTTATAAAGAATCAGGGCTTAGAAAAAAATCATTGTATCACACACGAACCGCCAGGATGATTTCAATTGTGATGTTCTTTTTTCTGTTAACTTGGTTGCCAACTAGGGTCGCAGGATTGTTGGCCGCGTTTGGATGTTCCGTGTCTCCATCGGCCGTTTACGTTTGTGTGTTCTTAGCGAAATCGTGCGTGATGTACAACGCGGTCGTGTACGTTTTCTTAAATCATCGTTTTCGTGCTGCGTTCTTGCACCTGACGTTTGTTTGCAGGGAGGAGAGCCGACTACGGCTGACAACCGATGCGACCAATGCGAGCGTACGTAATTTTGGAGAGATTTTGCCTTCCATAGTGGAAACTAACGAAAGATCGCGAGTTTTGTCGCGGAAAACTTTGTCTCAACTTAGTTTTATCCCTGTTGCCGAGATTCCTGAATTGTCGTCATGCTCTGGTAGGCTTTCAAACGCGGACGTATCTCGGCCTACTCAGGAGCCATCAGAAACTCCTCGTGAGGACTCGATTCATGATCGTAAATCGTCGCTTCGTGTCGTCGATTTGAAAGAGTGCGATACTGTCGGGGTAGATATTGCAGGATCTGCAAATGGTTCTTGTTTAAATGAGGGACTACAGGACGAAGGAATAGGGTCACACTTTCACCGTGGGGGACGAGACATATCTGAGACAAATAATGGATTGATAGGGAGAGGGGAACACTTATCTCATGTGGGGTCTACCACCCCTGAGACAAACAATGAATTGAGCAGGAGAGGGATAGGGTCACACCTGTCCAACAGCGTGGGGGAAGATAGACCTGACATAAACAAGGAACTCTCCAGCGCAAGGCAAGATATACCAAAATTTGAATCATCTACTGCTGGCCAAAAAACAATAGACAAATCTGAATTATCCAGCAAGGCACACACCTCAGATAAAATAAACTATGGGTTTAATAACCCTGGGTTACATGAAGACGATGAATATGCAGAAAATGACAAAAATATTGAGAAATATTTTGAATTGGATATTAGGTCGTTTGGTAATATAACTTAGATGAAAAAAGATGGACTAATAATTCGGTATTTAGGATTTGAAAAAGTATATGTATATATAAATATGAAAGATGATTTTGCAAATAATATCGTTGTTTTGTTATATTTTATTGACAACACAAGAAGACATAAAGTGCGTTTACAGTTAGCGAACTTACAGTCAAAGCTTATAAGTGCGACTAACCCCAAATATAATTTTTGGTATGTTTAATATTTGGGTCATTCGAAGAAGAATTGTAATGTTTCTTTATAGGAAAAAACCTTCATCTTGATCAACTTTTTCACTGTCAAAGTTCCAGATATGATGTCATTAGGTGAATTTTTGGTACAAAAAACAAATGAAAACTAATTTGCATTTCACCTAATGACATCACATTCGGAAACTTTGACAGTGAAAAAGTTGATCAAGATGGAATTTCTATTATATAGAGAATAATGGGTGCGCGGAAATACCAGATTTATTTCGAGTGTTGAACATGATATCCACGAGTGAGATATCATGTTCAACACGAGAAATAAATCTCGTATTTCCAAGCACCCATGTATTTTTCTGTTTATTATATAAACAAAATTCAGTGAAAAACAATAAAACGTCCATGGCAATGCGTTTTACAACAAATGATATTTTCACACGTAAAAATATCGTATTTTTTACGTGTGTTTAAATACGATTTTTCTCAGTGGCCAAAAACTCTATATAACACTTATGTTTATATAATAAAAAGATATATTACATTTCTTCTTCAAATGACCTAAATATTACACATACAAAAAAATCATACTTAGGGTTAATTATTGACACTTTAATATACTGGCTGCTTTTTTTTGTTTCTTTTCAAAAATTGTTGTTATCCTTTTTTCTCCCGAAATCAGTTTCAACAAAGGTAATCATTGCCGCCTTACAGAATATTTCAAGACTGACAGTTTTACAAAACATAAATATCACACAATGTATATTGTCTTTGAGAAATTAAAGGGAACTGACAATATAAATTTTTATTTTCTCATTTGAAAGAACTTTTGATATATTAATATTAACTTGTTTTACCGATTCTTCATATCTTGCTTAGTTCTTGAAATATTTTCACTTGAAGTAATGAGATGTCCGCCATCTTGGATAAATGTTTGATCTCATTAACGGTAGTTTTGGTGACGTCACAACAGGGATTAACCATATAAAAGTATTTGTTGCAGACCAAATATTGATTGGTAGATGTTTTAAAGGTTTTGAGTGATCTTCATATTTCGAAGGGCAGACAGAGTATAGTTCTGAGTGCAAAATGACTAGTGGTTGTCTATAGATAAAAATATTGTGTGATCCCTGTTGTGACGTGACATGCATATCTACAAGAATTGAAGATAGCGGAAATTTCATTTCTTTCGATCAAAATATTTGTAGAAGTAAGCAAGATATGAAAAAAAGATAAAAGAGTATTATATATATAATCAAAATAAAAAATATATTGCCATTTCCCTTTAAATTTTAAAAATATCGAAGCTTAGGCTAGATTTAGCAAACTGACTAGCAAGACTGACGAGCCTCGTTCTGGTACTTTTTGCGCATTTCAAAGGGCTCGACATACATTTTATACACTTCGCCATAATAAGCACTCTCCGTTGAAAAATTGTTTTATTTGCTGAGTGGTAAGGCATAAAATATAAAATAATGCAAAGTATAGTGATAGCTAGTAATTTATTATGTAAATGACTACAACTCGAAAACAATGCGTGAATTAGCATCGATACGTCGTTGTAAAATAATACTTATATCGCTTACATTTGTTTCAAAGTTAAATTGGTATGATTTAATGTTAATTGTCACTAATATATTATATATCATATATGAAGATCATTACCTATATCTATATGTATTAATACATGCAAAGTAATATATCCAGAATTATTTAAAAGGTAAATTTGTTCATGAAATCAGTTTCATCATTTTGTCACTGGCACTGGCAGTTTCGTGCGGTAGCAAACGAACGTGTTATCTTTGACCTTCTCGTGGAAAAGCTTATAATTCTCTTTTTCGCGCAGGGCATTGACATCATGAGCAGCATCTGCATCCACGACAACTGTTTTGATGCCTTGCATTTCAATTAAGGGAGCACACTCATCGCATGGAGGTCTACCAGCAACAAACAGAATTGAGCCTTCTTCGATGTTCTTCTGATTTCGCATCAAGAAAGCGTTCTGCTCTGCATGGATGATATACGGGCCCTTCTTATCTGGAGTTTGATCGCTACTTGAACCTCTTGGAAACTCGCCATAGAGTGCTTTGAGAGGAAAGCCGTTCCAGCCAAACGCGAGAATTTCACTTTTTGGACTGACAATCACTGCACCAACTCCAGCTTTTGGGTCGTCTGTGCGTTCGGATAAAAATCTTGCTATAGCTATGAACTTACGCGCATGCTTCAGCTTCGGATCGTTGGAATCATTCAGCACTGGATCAAAGACAATATCATTGTAATCGGCATATTCCTGTTGCTTGGCGAGTTCAAAATTGTAATTCAACCCGCTGCCTGACAGAACTTGAACTCTTGCGATCCACTCCATGGCGTATCTAAAGCGTTTTTGAACGTGTCCGTCTATGTCTGAATCGAATGATGGCCAGGGAAGTTTTTCCACAATAGACTCTTTCCACTCTGGATTCTTTTGGAAACCATACATGCGGACCAAGCTCTTCGTTTCTTTATTAATTTTACCCGTTTTAATTTTTGATGGTGATGGTGTTTTCAGTTGCGCATCTTTAAGAACAGTCTCATCGACTTGCAACACGAATCTTGTCTGAGCAATAGCGCTTGCGGTGAACAGACTATCGACTTGTTTCATCATGGAATCGTTGTCATTTGAAGGATAGTATTCCGGTTCAAACGGCAGAAACAACACTCTTTGTACTTTCGATTGAACCAAAAGCTTCGCACATATCGGGCACGGCTTTCGAGACATGAACATCTTGCAACCCTTGGCTTTATCGTAGTGCTTCATCAACAACCTGGCTACAGCGTGGACGCGGTCTCGAGAACAATCTGCGGCAAAAATCACGTCGTTTGGTAACACAAGCACCGCTCCGACCTTGTTGTAACCTTCTGGAGGATCATCGACAAAATCTTCCATCCACAGAGCTATGATCATATAAAGATCTTCTTTGCTCACTCGTGAATAACTCTTCGCGTAACCCGGATTGCCACTTTGATTGTCTTCATCGAGAGACAGGTTACTCGACGATTCAGTATCAGTTTGGCCGCCCTTATTTTCGTCCTCTGGGCTTTCTGTGCGTTGTCTCTTTGGACTGGACGCCATGTTGTTGAGATTTAAGAGACAATTTATGGGGCGTACATTATATACAACATACAACAGAGAGGTATTTGGTCAACCCCTCAAGGTCAAGTACCTCTGATCTCAAAATCACAACTGGATGACATTCATGAAATCATGATCCATCCAGTTGTATTTGGAGATCATAAAAACGAATGTCATTGATCCGAAGGTATAACTTAAATCTTCTAACACAATTTTTTTTATTTATTCTATGGACTCTACTGTTTATTTGTAATGTCTTCGTGCAAAAATTTTTCAATTTGAATGAATCGTCTAAATTTTATGGCGCGTTTAATGTGGCATAGCGTGGCAGGTGGCCGTCGTAGTCGGGAAACTGGGACTAGCAATTTTTCTGACGTCACGCAAGGTAGTCGGTATTTTGCTTTGATCATCTTCGATCTTGCGCATTCCTGTTTGAAAATCACAGTTCGGCACACTACGACTACATCTCAGGACAAAACATAAAA